TTTGGTGAGTAGAGAAGGGAGGCCCTAAAGGATTGTCCTGTGGGGAAAACCTTGTTCCTTTGTCCTTGCCTGTCATGGGGATTGCTACCTGGCGTGAATGGGCTTCGCCACGCCAGTCACCGAGCGTGAAAGGAAAAAAAAAAAAAACATGGCTGCCGGTGTATCTCCCCGCCTTCTAGCGGAAGATGCACCCGGCGTTTCACACATTAATTTGGTGGGAGCAGTGCGGCGAGGCCCAGTGTTCCAGAATGGGTATGTATGGGGCCTGGTCGCACCACTCGCCAAACGCCAATATTCTGAATGTATCCGAGCCTCGAGGTGGTCCTGATACATTCAAAATGTTGGCAATATTCTTAATGTATCCGAGGCTCGAAGTGGTCCTGATACATTCAAAATGTTGGCAAGCGGGTAGTGGTGCGGCGAGCCCCATGGTCTCTGGCACTCTGCTTGACCAGCCCTGCCGCAAGTGGCTCCTTTTTTTTTTGTTTTTTAAGGTAAGCTATATTCTTCTCTCATCTATTTCATCTTTCTTGGTAGTACGCATCTCTCTCATCCTCTCATTGAAGCTTCTGTGTCTTGGGGCCTCGCTGCACCACTCACCAAATGTGCAAATTAAGAATGAATTTTCCGTTAGAACACGGGAAGATGCATCGCCAAATTTTGTGTATTTTGTACATGTCGTGAGTAGTGGAGCGATGCCCTCTTTTTTCTCGATTTGCCTTGCCATCATCAGCACCATCTGTTGCTCCTTTTTTCTTTTTTTTTTCCAACCGTTATTTTCTTTCCTGGGCTTTTTTTTTTATGTAATTTTTAAACCTTGCATGCGCCGAGCGCCCCCGCGCACTCTGATGCTTCTCCTTTACCCCAGGGGCGAGGTCCCCCAAGCAACTTGAAAGAGGATTGGAGTGAACGCCTGAATCTGGACTTGTTTGTGGAAAGGTGCAGAGAATCGAGATTGAATCTCTGGTTAGAACACGCCCAGATTCAGGATATTTATCCAATCGTCTTTGCCAGTGGGACCTTGCCGCAGGGCACTCGAAGTTTCTGTGTACTACTAGTTTCTGTGTTTGCTTGTTTCCCTATGGACAGCAAGGTGCACGTGCGTGCATCGGGCGTCTTTCTGCGAAGATATCGCATGCGGATAATGAATGGATACGAGCTATATTTCCGGTCCAGTGCAGTCATACATAATGAGGGTGCCTTGTCTTTTTCTGATGTTTAGTAGCTTTTTGTTGCTTTGACAATTATGTGATGAGTTGGTGAAACTCCGATGGCACAGTCTGTCATACATCGTGACACATGTATGTCTTTATAGATAGGTGCTCGCATATATCTATATGTAGTCAAACAGAGCTGCCCGGTAAAGCGTAGGCAGAGAGGGAGGGAGAAGAGGACAACAAACAAGGGGTATATAACGTGGTCGGTGATATGAGATTCCGAGAACCTGTTGTTCGCAGACTTGAAAGCACCCAACCAAAAAATATAGAAAAAAAAAGGAAAAAAAAGGGAAAAAGAAAAAGAAGAAAAAAAAGGAAAAAAAAGGGGAAAAAAAAGGAAAAAAGGGAAAAAAGAAAAAAAGGAAAAAGAAGAAAAAGAACCTTTATCAGAGCGGATTTGGCACTCCAAAAACGAAGTCTGGTTTTTGAATACCTGGGCATTGGCAAATCGTTTGACAACGATCTCGGTGCATTCGGAATTGGTGATTGGACCATGGTTGAGCTCCTGAGCTGAATTCAGGCAGGATGTTACAAATAGGGAATGAGGTGCTGTATTGAGGTTGGATGTCAGAGTTCATACTAGTAGATTAGGAGAAACATTGCACCCAGGTGCCGGGTTTAGGCCTCAGAGTCTGTGAGCGAAATATGTTGATAAGTTTGGCAGACTTCCGTAGTGTAGGAATTCGTTATAGAGCAACACTTGACCTGCAAGCTGAGTAAGGTAAGTTCATAGAGGATTACAGTGGTCAGGAGCCCTGACCAGTTTTTTGGCAAACAGCAAGTATGATCTGCCTGTTTGGAGGCCATCCTTCTATTTTTTGTTTTTGGAAGGTTATATGGATAAGGGACAGTGGACCCGGTTTCCAGAAGCCTACAGCTGGGTAAGGGCCCGAGCATGTTAAAGTACCGGGTTGATTTGTTGGGGTGTGTTCCCGGGCCCCTGCCGTCCTTTTACAATATAAGCTAAATCTTCCAAAAAAAAAAAAAAAAGAAAAAAAAAAAAAGAACCTCCGAACCTCAGTCGGTACACCGATGAACCGTGGAAATGCGGACCTGAGTTCGAATCCAGATGCAATTAAGATCAACAGAATGAAATAATTCTGAATTACCTAGGGCAGGTCAGTTCAATGGTGATATCTCAGGGTCATCACCGTTTAAAGAAAAAAAAAAAAAAAAAAAAAAGGAAGGGTTGGCATTACCACAGCCACTTTTGCTAAATTGAGATTTTCAAATTTCAGGCCAGGGACTTCACAATTCAGCCTGTGACGAAATTTCCTTTTTTTTTTCAAACTGCCCGTTTGTGCGACGGCTAAACTTCAAAATGCTAAACGTCTAGTAAAAGACCACCAGCGGTAAATTCAATTCTCTTCCGGTCAAAACCTCAAATGTAATAAGTGTGAAACCGTGGGAACGGTACTGGTACTCTGGTCCAGTACTGATGTCCCAGTGTGTAGCCCAGTGGACCAGTCTGGTACCATTTTTTGTTTTCTTTTCCATCGATTTTTGCAGGATATACGGGTACTGTGACACATTACAGTAGACAGCGTGTTGGTGCAAGCCCGGCTGCCAGTCCTTCGACCTCCATGTCCTTGAGTGTTTGTGTGTGTGTGTGCGTGAACATGTGTTGACCCATGTGAATGGCTAAAGGTGAGGGTTGAATGTCTCCAAGAATAGGAGCAAATCCAGGCATCTCTTGCTGAATGAGAGGGGAGGAGGTCGTCTCTTGTGTTTGCATTTCTCATCGATTCCAAGCATCTGGGGGTCGAATAGGATATCCTGTGCTCTGGGACCTTTTGCAAGCATACTGAGTCTTCGTGAATGTACATCTGCCTGGACTCAGTGGGCTGTAGGTGGGACTGCATGTGCCTCTTCGTGTTCAGGGACGCTCTCTATATTACCCCAGCCCTAGCCTGCCAGAACTCGTTCCGTTGCCCAAGTCACACCACATATGAGGCAACCCTGGGTTTCTCAAGGCCCTGTATGCACACACACACACACACACACACACACACACACACACACACACACACACACACACACACACNACACACACACACACACACACACACACACACACACACACACACACACACACACACACACACACACACACACAGAGAGAGAGAGAGAGAGAGAGAGATGCAGTGTTGCAGGTCATTGACAAGCTGACGGTCTGTCTTTTACCCTCTGTTAAGCTATTCGCTTAGTTTTGACACATCCACTTGGTGTAGTCTTTTGGGGGCTTCTAAAATGCCAGTGGGCTTGTGCAATTGCTGGTGACCAGGTCCTTTTCTGAAGCAGGGCTGCACTGGGCAGCCTTGTTATTATCAATTACGTGCAAATGTTGACCTTGTCTATGTTATGTGAAAATGTGAAGTCCTGACGAGTGCTTTCTTGTCCTGCAAATCTATCCCTTCGTTGCCTATTCTTTTTTCTCTGTCACTTCATTTCCGGCCACCTTCTCCTCCCAATTCGTTATTGGCGCTGAGGATTCGATTTTAGGCACGTCTGTTCCCACTTGCACTACCACTGTCAAACTGAGCTTTCTGCCCCTCTCTTCCTTGCCACCCCTCCCCTTCCCCACCCCTGCAGATCTTGTCTTACCCAGGGTTGCCCCTCCTCTGTTGTTCTTTCTTCCACCAGCTTTTATTTTAGTATGCAGCACCTGAACAAATGAGTGCCTACACCTTGCTTTGCCCACTACATCTGTCTACAATTCTCTCTCTCTCTCTCTCTCTCTCTCTCTCTCTCTCTCTCTCTCTCTCTCTCTCTCTCTCTCTCTCTCTCTCTCTCTTCTTGTCTCCCTCCTTTGTGATAACATCTACATGACAGGATTGGATCTCTATGTGAAAATCCATCCGCATAGGCATGCTCTGCGCTTTTGTTCAGAAGTGATTTTTTGCGATTTCCTTTTCCTTGGTGGTCTGCATACGTCGGTCTATAGATTAATCGAAGGGGATGGGGATGCCAGAGAAACTTAGAAGCCATTGGCTCTCAGACGTTGATTCTGAGAAGACATGAAGCCATGGTGATTGGCTTTGGTAAAAGGTTGATTTTTCAAGATATTGCATAGAGAACTGTCGGAGGAGATCCACTGAGCAGCAGTGTATGTTCAGCCACCACTCCATTTTTGTGGCTGAAAATTTTCTGGACAGTAGCTCGAGCCAACAGGGTGCCTTCCAAAAATGGGCAAATGGCAAAAAATAGCTACCGTCGTCCCCCGAACATAACGCACCTTAAAAATGAGTGTATATAAGCTATATTTCCGGCCAGATACAGCCAAAATAAGGGTGCGTTGTGTTCGGGGGAAGACAGTAGCGGCAACTGTGGATTTGAAATCAGCACCTGCCTGTGAATCCCACCACCTAAGCTGCATCGTGTGTTCAGTCTGACCTTGCCTCTGTGTGTGTGTATGTGTGTGTGTGTGTGTGTGTGAGAGAGAGAGAGAGAGAGAATCTGCTTTCGGCTAGCAAACTAAGAACCATGGGCAGAACAGGGGGGCAGTTAGACCTTGTGGACATTTTGGAGAGGATATACCACCTGGGTCTGCCTTCCAGTTATGCATGTCTCAATGGTCACAGCCTATGCATTCCAAAGTGTGAGCAGTTGGGAGAACAACATGGGACTAAAACTGTTTGCAATTTGATTGCAGCGAATCGGCTTGACTTTATTATTATTTGCCTCGCAAGCACACACCCGTTGTTCCCCACAGCAGTCCATCGGCGCATCTTCTAAGTCATATATGACGTTTTCTTTTGGTGGTGATTGCTGTTGTTGTTCCAGAATGCATTTGATTGGGAGGACAGTCACCTTCACAGTTTCTGTCAGCCGCGAGAGAACCCATTTCCCAACGTTTCGACTCTCCCGCCCAATTATGGAAGGACCGATTCAAGCTCTCTATTGTCGCTGGATCTCGACTCCCTGGAGGCCAGCCAGGTGCGTACCTATCAGTTAGTGGTTGGTACAGAAGATCCGTACGGTGAAGTCCTTGTTCCTGTCGAGCCGTCGAACAAGGAGAGCAGTACTGTCTTCATTCAGTATCCTTTTCTGGAGGAGGCAGGCGGTGTCTCAGGTGCAACCCCCATCATTGTCAAAGCGGGTATAAAGCAGGTGAGCAAACCTGCCTTTTCTTACCCCGGTGAGTGTCTAGGGTGAGTGTATGATATACCCCCGTTGTTGTTATTGAACAGAATCATCAGATACAATTTAGACGTCAAGCATTGTTGAAGATCGTTGGGATCTTGAGAGATTGGTTGCAAAAAGATCGTTTAGCGCTCTTCGAGCACTCACTCTACCCCTTCCAAGCCCTGCAAAAATGAGCATTCTGGTTGCGTTTTCTTTGCTAGTCTTACCACAGTCATCTACTAGTCGAATGCCCCCCCCCTTAAACCAGCACAGTGCGTCTTTCATATGAACAGATATTTTTGTGGTGTTACGTGTCGGATCTTCTTGTGGAAGTCGTTTTCTTGACAACGTCTCGTCTCGTCGTTCTTTGATCGATTTATAAATTATAACCATTTGATTCAATTTAATTTCATGCCTGCTTTATGTGCAGATTCTGGAGGAGCGTGCTTTCAGGGTTGGCAACATCTTGAGTGAGCAACAGCCTATTCTTATGTACGAGTACGACTTCACGGAGAGTCACGAAGTGACAATTGCCTTTGGAGGCAAGTACCTGTCTACAGAGGGTGTGCATTACCCCACATGCTTGGCTGGGGCTGGGGCAAGCCGGGCAGAAGATGGCAACGACATGGACGAGGATGGAAATCTCCTTCCCAGCTACAATTACGACGAGTTTGCTGTGACGGAGGTACTTGCCACTGCTTATCATCTCCCCTGCCCTTTGTCGATCATGTGACTCGAGATAATGGGAAAAAAAAAAAAAAAAAAACTTTGCTGCTGCTTATCAATTCTCCCGCCCTTGTTTCTGCTCTCTTTGTGAAAGGATTATTCTAATAAAAAAAAAGTAGACAATGCAAGGTGTCTCTGTGTGTGTGTGTGTGTGTGTGTGTGTGTGTGTGTGTGTGTGTGTGTGTGTGTGTGTGTGTGTGTGTGTTTTCAATACACAGGGAATTCTCTTTGTTTTGTACACGAGGATGTGGATGCCTTTGTTAAGTTTGTTTATGTGTTGCCACGCGTGCTAAACACAACTTTTTAATGCAGTAAAAGCGGGACGGTGACAGACTGGTCCAAGCCGGGATAAAAGACGCCAGAGTCGGTAATATATTTTACAGTTTTACCATAATTATTGATTCTCATATTTACAATCTCTTTGAATGGGTCCCACATGTGTGTAAACATTCCAAACAACTTCTAACTTGTGGAAAGGTTGGGACCACCACCTGACCCACAGCTAGCGATACCTTTGGGAGAAGTGGTTGGCTTTACGCTGAGTCGCTGACCGGTGTTTCGATACTAGCAGATTGTGGAGTGAAGAACCCATGAGAAGAAGGGCAATTGTGCCAAACTGGGCGAGGCGTCTGGTTCTGCTCCACGTCGGCTTTAAAAAAGTGGTTGACAGGTCACACGCACAAGCGTCGTTCAGCGTTATTCACAGATAGAAGAAAGGGGGATGAATGTGGGCCAAAAGCCCGGAGCAGTTCAGCAGACCAAAGCATACAGCAGCATACACACACACACACACACACACACACACACACACACACACACACACACACACACACACACACACACACA